GAGCCACATGACTGGAGCATTCACTGGGAAAGGAACTCTGGAAGGCTGGCACTACATGGAGCAGATCAGAACCTGCAGTTCCCTGAAGGACGCACCCCGCTAGCAGCCACAGCGCCTGTGGGAAGAGCAGGCAGGATGCAAAGCTTTGGTTGAGGTTTCTGAGCTGCAGTCAGCTTCCCTGGAAACTGTGCCTGCCCAGCCCTGCCCCAGCACTGGCAGGAGATGCTGCTGCTCTCTGGGAAGCTGCAGGGCGGCACAGCGCAGCACAGGGCCCAGGGACAGGAACTGGGCCCCTTTGTCCACCGAGTGTGTCTTCCTCTCTCCTCCACGGTCAACTTCTATTTTAGTCTCCTGTGATAAGACATGATTTGTATTAGAGTCACTGTTTCCCATCCATGTCCCAGCCCAGATTGACTGTATGAAGATGTTGTTCACCGACAGCTTCTTTTAATCCTCTATGGAAAGAACACACATTATATAATTCAGTTTCACTGACACTCTTAAAAGAATCTCCCAAAACACAAACATGGTACTTTATCCCATAAATATATTTTATCTACCCAGGCTTTTCTCCAAATGCTCTTGATCAGAGGTATGTGCCCTCATGACATCCATTACAAACACTATTGACCTGCCTCACTGTAATCACAAATCAGTATAGAGAGAACTGACACCCAGTCTCAGGTCATGAAATCATAGGAAATCCTAATAATTCATGATAAACAGACTATTTCCCATATTGCTGCTAGATAACACCTTATATTCCTATTTTTGACATAGGAGTATAAGCAATAGTCTTTATGGTATACCCAACCCTGAGGCAATCTTTTTGACAGCTCTTCTATCATCACCATAATAATTCTTATCTCTTGATATGTAGCAGGTACAAATATCAGGAGAAGCAAAATAAGTAAATTTACACTTGTGAGTTTGGACTCATTCTCCCATCATAGCGAGTTGACCAGACACACTGCCTACATGCCACAGGCCCCGGGAGACCAGAGAAGAGGAAGAAATAGAAAGAAAGTGAGAGAAAGAGGAGGAAGGTCAATATGAGAGAGGGACAGGAAGCTATAGATAGTGATAGTATAGAAATTAGTAATACAAACAGAGATAGAGAGGGATACAGAGCAGAGTGGGAGCGAGAGAAAAAGAGAATGACTGAGACAGTAGCGCACAGAGATTAAAAGAGTTAGTGAGAGAGAGAACTATACACAGAGAAGGGTAGATCTCTGTTATGATGAGAGAGAAATAATATCAGAGGGACAGAGAGGGAGGGAAGATGGATATAGAGAAAAAGAACAGAAAGTAGAGAGAGATTTTGTTACAAAAATAGTGAAAGGGAGAAAGAGAGAGGGAGACACACAGAGAAAGAGATAGAGAAAGATGGAGTAATAGAATTGGAGATAGAAGGAGAGAGAGAATGATAGAGCTATAAAGATAAAGGATATATGTGGACACATCAGTGTGATATAGTTCTGAAGTTAGATATACAGAAATAGAGGTAGATATCGATAAAAAGTTAGAGATACTAATATTTACATACATATTGTTACAAATTTTATATTTAATACTGTTACGTGTTTATTTATATGCTTATGTATATATTTCTTTCTTTTTTCCTTTATATATAATTCTACCTCTAAGTATCTATTGATCTAATTATATATCCTCTATTTGTATCCTATTACACAATAATGCTGTATAACACACTTGCCACGACATAGTGGCTTAAAGCAACAATCATTTATTAATTCTTACAAGCCCATTGATCAGCTGGGTTCTTCTGCTGCTCTGGGCCAAGCTCAACTCATCTATATTGGGCTTGGATACATGTTGGTGAGCTGACAGGTTGGCAGGGGCCGGGCTGGTCAAGGTGGACTGGGATGGAATGGATCAGGTCTGTTCCAGGTGGTATTTCACCCTTGAGCAGGCCAGCCTGGGCTTGTTCTCATGACAGTAGTGAGGGTATAAGAGAGCGAGCAGAAGTGCATTAAACCTCTTGAGGCCTAGACTCAGAGCTGGAACCCCACAACTTCCTTCCACATGCAAAACCTTGGAAATAAACTGCACCTCTTGATTGAGGAGCTGTGAATTCACATTGCAAGGAGTGAGCCCCAGGCTGGAAAATTTACACTGAGCATATCTGACCCTGTGTCTCTCATTGAATGCAACTATAACCCCTGCTCTGAGGACTCTGAGCATGGAGAGAATCCTGCTGGCTTTTGCCTTCTCTTTATCCTCTCCCTGCTTGGCCTCAAATGCAGATACAGTTGCAGGAAATGCACAGCAGAGCAAGTATGCTAATACCTCACTTATCTATCCAGCCAGAGGATGAGAAGGGGGATCCCTGTGAATTGAAAAGTGTTGTAGAGATGACAGAGAGGAGAGAGTTTGAGAAAAATCTCTCACAATAGTGTTCGAACAACTGGGTTTAACCCTAGCTGCACAGGCATAGATATGACGCTAAACATCCTACCGTTGGCTTTGCAAACTGGTCTAGGGGTAAACCACTGCCCAGGTACTAGACTGACCACTGAAAGGCACCCCCACAGGACAGATCTGAGCAGCACTGTAAATTGGAACTGCCCACCTAAAGCAGGAGGGCACTTGAAACCCCTAACTGGGTCAATGGCCTGCAAACAAAACACTCAGCATCTCCATATTATGTAAACATTGCCTAGATCCCCTGACATAACATTCAAAATGTTCAGGATACAATCCAAAATTACTCAGCACGGAGAATGAGGAAAATCTAAACATCTCACAAGGGAAAAGCCATTAAGAAATGCCAATCTTGAAATGACACAGACATTGAGATAACAGGCAGAGCTGTACAGCCATTGATGCTAGTTGTCTAGTCCAGGACATCCTTACTGTGGATGATGGCAATTTCCTAATTTAATGCTTGTCCTGCATTTATCTGTTATAATACTCCCATAAAGAAGAAATTTCATTCAAGCTCTGTGGTATCCTGAAGTACAGTGTGTACAGAACTGGCAAGGGAAATATTTGATTCTTTTTTATTTCCCTTTTGTGAATAACGAGATGGTGCCTTAGCCACCTCCACGGGTGACATATTAATTTTGAGTTTCATCAGTGAACCTGTGTGTTTTATATATTATGGCTTTAACATGCTTGCATAGGTGTTGACCCTTTGGTGCTCACATTGTCTTCTCTGTGGTCAGTAAGAGACTCTGTGAGTTGGCTTCTGTGTCCTGTGGCGTGACCTCCATCATCTCTCACAGCTTGCTTGCTTTTTGAAAGAGACGAGATGTCATTGACCTTGTCCATTGCCTTCCCACTCCTGGATTCAGATTCAGCTGTTTCTCAACTGAGCCCTAGTCCTTCCGTGAGAAATGGTATTTGATGCTGAAGGACAGATGCTGGGAGAGGTCATTACTGCTGGATGGTTATTCCTTTCTAGTTTTTTCAGTAGATAGCTAAAAAAAGTATTTTTTAGAGAAAAATGGAGTCAAATTATAGATCACAGGTTTTTACTAAAATTTTGTGTATGCCTTTTCCCCTTATACTGAAATCTTGATTTCTAACGTAGCAACATAAATTTATAAAAATACAAATATATAAAGAATACTATAATTACCTCTAACAACACTGCACCCAGACGGTGCAATTTAAGATTCTTTTTTCTTTTTCTTGCTCTCCTTCCTTCCTTTCTCCCTCTCTCTCTCTCTCTCTCTCAGGACACATTACATTCCATGAATATATTCTAACCCCCATAGTGCCCTCTTTTCCTAACTGTAGCTCCATAGTTCTTATTGTATTCTGTAGAGTACTTTCCTTTTACTAATTTTTTAAGAATTTTCTTTCCACTCTAGTGTGACGGTATTTTCTCCTCTCTTAGCTGTAAACCACAATTCTGTCCAGCAGGCATGTGCTGGGACTCCAAGGCACTGAGCTGCTTCCTGCAGAGTGACCTGGAACGTTCTCTTGCAGAGCTGCTGCTGTGACACCTCATGTCCCTGCACGTGTGGTCCCCAGGCAGAAGGAAGAGCAGCCTGAGACCCTCCCTTCCTCCTTTCCCAGCTGTCTGTTAGGATGGCAGAAATGAACCTCCTGAGAGAGAGGCCAGAACAATGATGGAGAGGGCATTTTTCTGCATTCTACTATGAATAGTGTAAACATGTGTCCAAATACATTTATAAAAGAGGGGAGGGTGAAAATCTGCGTATGAATCTCTTCAATTCTCCCATGAATTCATTATTCTTGTTTGATCAATTATCTACCCATCTATGAATGCAAGTTAAGTCACTGATATGGGTACAATTCCTGAGTAGAGGGCTGCCTAAAGAAACACAGGATGATGAAGGAAATCTGAACTGCAGATAAACAACAAATACTTTTTTAGTTCAAGTGTGTCCCGAAGATTGTATAGCACCCTGCACTTTTTAATTTCACTAAATCTGACAAGTGTATGTGAGGTGACATTTTTACATAAGAATGAGTATAAATCATCTAACAAATTGACTTGTCACACACAGACACACACACACATCCTTCCATTTGACTTTAAGGAGAGTCAAATATACACCAACATAACTGATCCTAACTCTTTCACCAAAGCAGGTTCAGTGCTCATCAGCTTTGCTGTGGGTGCCTCACAGTTTGCTGACAGATGTGAGAGGAATGTGGTTCAGGGTGACAATACAGAAGCTGCATCGCAGGACAAGCCCATGGCAGCAGCGTGAACACTTGAACCCTGAGTTGCAGGGAAGTCCCCTGACTCAGGACCCCTCCCTGCACCAGGGGACATGGAGCTGCATCCATGGCTCTCCTGCCCCCTCCATTGGCTCAGGCTGTCCCTCCCTCTGCTCTGGGCTCTCAGGGTTCCTGGCTCCTCCTCTTCTGCAGAGGGCCTGCTCTCAACCTGCCCCAGGAGGCTCTCAGGAAATGGGCTGAGGAGAGAGGCAGGGCTCCTCCCCAGGCCTCCCCCAGCCCCACCCACTCTGGGTCATCAGCTGGGTGGTCTTCTAGGAGAGCTCTCAGTCACTGCCTGCCTGTGACAGCTGTCTAGAGCCTGGCTCTGACTCTCTCCTTGTGTCCTGGGCTCCCTGTCTTTGGAGCAGGGCTGGAGTGTAGAGGGTGTCAGCTCTTCGTGTCATCTGTCCCTTCCTTCTAAGGCCAGAGTAGGAAGGCATGCTGCGGGCTGTCACCCTCCTTCTAGCTTTCCTGGCTCCTGGTAAGTGTGCTGCCTCCATGTTCCTAGGATTTTTCTCTTTTTTGGCAACGGGAGGCCATACCGAGGAATTCTATTAGCTCTTCCTCATTATTTTTTGTTGTTCCCATTGCAGCCATTCAGCTATCTTCCAACTTGGAAGGGACACAGATGTCAGTCACCAGACAGGCTGGGTCATCTGTTGTAATCACTTGTGATATTAAAGAAAGCAGCGACTACGTCCACTGGTACCGATACCAGAACAGGATGGCCCCACAACGCCTTCTCTACTACCAGTTCTCCAGCTCAAATGATGTGCTGGATTCGGAGATCAGTTCACGGAAATACCATGCTTATGAAGGCACAGGGAGAACCTCTAAACTTTTAATCAAAATTCTGGAAGAAAGTGATTCTGGTGTGTATTACTGTGCTGCCTGGGAGAGACACAGTGATTCAGATCTACCCTATCCTGCTCTGAAAATTTTGCTTGTGGTTGCCAAGAGCAGCGTTGACACACAGGATAGATCAGCCCCTGCCTTCCTTCCTGCTTTGACTTCACTGTGCTCTGAATAAAAGAGAGTCTCTGAGCTCAATCCCCAACCTCCTACCCTTAAATCCCACTGGCCTCCCTGCTCCCCAGTGAGCCATAGCAGGTTCCAAAAACCCACCTCCCATCTCCAGGCCTTAGACATGAAGTCTGGCAGACAGCACAATCCTTCAGCTGTCCTAGGAGCTTGTAGAGTCCATTCAATCTGCTTCCTGGTACAGACATGGTCACCTAGAGTAGATGTGATCAGAGAGACATTCAGGAGAGCAATATGGGAAGGCTACTGGTACCTAATCATTTATACAATAATTTCCCAGAAAAACTGGCTTCAAAAGTAGCTCCTGCCTTACTCAGGAGAATGAGAAATGATGGAATGAAAACTTTGGACTTCATGAAGACCTCAAGCTGGTATCTGATTTATCTCTAAGACAAACTGATATTTATCTCACCATAACCAACCATGGCACTGTTGAGACAGTGAAAGGGCGAGAAGAAAGCGATGGTTGTGGAGATGCCAACCATGTATTCTACTTACACCTTCTTTTGAAGTTCAGTCACAGCCAGAACTGTTCTGTCTTAAACAAGTAAAGCCAAAGTTAGTTTCCCACCCCCCATGATTGACATGGCCAAGTACTAAACTGAAATGAATCTTATCATATTATTTTTTTCTCAATAAGTAAAATTAAAGGGCACTTTAGATGAAAAATCAGATAATAAATAGTATATATTTGAATTGAAAAGTCATATATGGAAGTATTTTGGTGTGCTATTGGTCCATGTTTAATGTTGTGAAATTAGTCCTGAAGTACAGAAATGCTGGATTCAAATGTGTGTGGTCTCTTGTGTATTGGATCCTCCAATTTTCTGCCACGACTCTTAACCTTGACTCTAGCTTAGAGTTTAAGTTCCTAGAACAGTGTTTCTCAAACTGTGGCCCGTGGACCACCTGCATCAGAAGCATCTGGGAGACTTTGAATACAAGTGTAGGTTCTGCATAGCAACCAACACAATAACTCAGAATCTTAGGATGAAGGCTGAAAATGTGTCATTTCCAACGACCTCCACACTTATTCTTATTCAGATTGATTTGTAAGAACTGTTCTCCCAGTAGTAACTGATAGGGTCACTTGTCTCCCTCTGAGATGGCCCGGTCCCCAGCCTGACACAAGAATGCTTTCTAGAAAGGTGCTCATGGGCTTTCTCCCAACACACAAATGCCTCCTCTCTTATCGCACCCTGGATGCTGCTGCTCTAACAGGTCATCACATTTCTCCATGACATTTGCACCAGAATCACAAGTGGAAACTCCAGTTCCTTCTCGCTTCTGTGACCTCAGGCAAGAAGTATAGTCCACTAAATGAACCAGCTTTAACTTGCTCTACTGTACCAGGGACCATGTATTTTAATTACTTTGCAGCTTTATGAAAGTTTATTCCGTACCTTGAAGCATTAACACATTCTCATTTATATTTATAGTGTTTAGGCTTTGTGTTCCTCACTTATGTCAGTGATCTTCTTTGGATTGTATTTTTGTGTATGGGGGTAAAGTAGGAATAAAGAAACCTAATTAATGTATGACACACATTTTAAGAAATTTACTAGAATTATGACTGATAACACTATACCAAGACATTTCAGAATTTCAGGAATTTTATATAATTTTTAGAACACATATTATTAACATTTATCCATGCACTATAACCTTAGAAGACTTTTCAACATTTATTTAACATGATTCCCATGTAGTTTAACATAACAAATAAGACTAATATCTGCATTTTTTATAGGAGGAGAGAACAAATTCTTTGAGATGAGTTGTTTTGGGGGCCCTCTAGAGAAATTCAATGTTATTTCCCGGTAAAAAAGACTTCATTTAAAATTTGATTTGGGGAAGTTTTTCAAAAATATCAATGTTTTAAAACACTTGGTCAAGTAAGATTATAGGCCATTGCAAAGCTTAGTTTTACAATGTAATGCTTAGTTATCCCCTTAACCATGTTGACACTTAAAGATTTTCAGTAAACTATAGAAAGTTAAATGTTTGTAAGAAAAACATGAGATGCTGTGATAAAAGACCTGCTAAAAACAAAACAGGAAATTATTCTGATAAACAAAATTAGCTTAGGACAAATTTACTTCCTAACAAAAAATTCTCTGTTTCTTATAACCTCTTTTACTGAAAACATACATTTTCTCATAGCATACTTTATTTTAATGTGGCAAAAGTAATGTTTCCTAGTAAACTCAAAAATCTTTTAGTTTTTCTGTAATAACAAGCCCAAAATAGATCAACTTAGACTTATTTAACAATTACTATTTCAGTGTTTTATCCTACTTAGAAATGATCTGGAAATTCAATTAATTCCCATCATTTAACTTAGCAGAACTCTAAGATTTCAAGTTATCAAAAAGGTTTTGAAGTTATTTTTAAGTATATGTACCATAACACATAATTATTGTTAAAAAGTTCACCAAATAAGGTTTTGATCTTACTTACATCTATTTAGTTTACTTGTCCCCAGTAATTATGTTCAGATTACCTACAAAAATTTCATGAGACATTAGACAGAGTCAACCATCAATTTTTTTGCTGCCAAATTTTGTAACAGAGATAATGTGAATTTCTTTGACTTTCAGTAAACCTATGTAGAACAAAAGTTTTATATTTAATGCTGATAACTCTAATGACAATAAACTTAAATTAGCTTTAATACTGAATATTTTCCTAGATCACGTGATTGTGAAATTCATTTGGGTTAATTTCTATTACATTTTTGAGAGAATACTCAATTATATATAGTGCTTGTTTTAAGCCGATTAAATAGAGTTCTTTTAGAAATTATTCCATTCAGAGGTACAAAAATATCACGTCTATCTTCCATACATTTATATAGACACACATACATAGAGATGCCATAGCTATTGTTTTAAAATTACTGCCATGAATCATGTACAGTACTTCAAAGCTCACTAGTTATGAAATAATAGTTCTATCCAAATTGTGTTTCTGGCAGACGGAATAAAATAAGTTTATCCACTTAGACAGTTAAAGCTTTCTTTCTTCTAATATTTGTAAAGACACTGACGATGCTAGATTTGGGGCAAGAGTTTGCAATAGCTATAGCTGTTTGGGTCTTTATTCATTTAGTCTTAGGAATTGGTGATAGTCTAGATAACAGTTCCTGGAGACGTCCCAGGCTTTTTGAGATAAGTAGGGGCAGTTTTGGGGATTCATGAAAGGGAACGAGTGGAATCTGACCACCTCTAGGGCTACATTTCCAGTTTCTCAAAGATTTAAAGGTAAGGATACTTGCTTTCAATTCCTCAGAAATTGTGTTGTAAGTTAAATGTTATCATAGATTAGTCTACCTTTCCAACTACATCATCCCTAATTTGCTTCTTTCCCTCTGGGCATATAGCTTTATTTTAACTTAGGGAAGAGGCTTATATGAAAAACAGTGTTATCAGGCTCTGAACATCAGCTTCCAATTTGGCCAAATTTCTCAACATAAATTACTAAATTGTTTCAAGTATCTTGTCAGGTTTCAGCCAGGGCAAACAGTAAATATTTCTAGTAGTGTTAAACAATCCCATTAAATTTTATTTTTAGTTTCCCCTTGACTGTTTAAGGGAGTAACACAGCAGCATACCAGAAAATCTCTCAGAATTTCCTTAACTCTCTGAGGGGCCCATACAGGGCCTCCTTCAAATCTGGCTATGGGAGTGTCTGTAAAGCCATTAATGTAATGAAATGTTATATAGTCTTTTCTTGTAGGTACCTCTTATATCTTAATTTTTCATTACCCTTTTGCCACAAAAGTTTCAATAAGGCTGTTTTGGAATATTGAAAACTTTGCTTTTAAGTGTTCTTCTTAAATGATCTTATATAAATGCTGGTGTAATTCCCCTGAGGCTGGTAGCTTGGTAGGCCCCTAGCCACAAGTGGAGTTTCATCTCTATTTCTTCCCAGCCAATTCTAGCCACAAATGGGATGCAACCCACATTTCTGTATGACCATATTTTGTGCCTCTAACCTGACAGCTACCAAGTCAAGCTCTCAGGACATAAACTAAGCTGAGCAAGATCTTCCTGTTTTTTTGTAAATATTTTACAGCTTCTGAGACCATTGTTTTTAAGCACTTGTGCCAGAGGTGGCACGTTTGAGTCTTTAAAAATTAAAGATGGCATTCAATTTGTCTTGTCTTTGATTCTCAAGTCTAGTGCACAAAAGGACAAGTTTTACAAGCTCGAACTAGCCCCAAAGTGGCCACTGTAATTTTAAATCATCTTCAGTATTATTAGTCCACTGGGACAAAAATTTACTAAAGAAAGACTGTAGTTCTTAAATATAAACCCAGCTGGAGTTTCCAAGGGAGGGAATTCTGAGGAACTTGTAGAAAATGAAATTTCCATGTTGAAGCACAGCTGGACCAAGAGACACCAGTTGCAAGCCCCAGGTTTTTACCTGGCTACAGCTGTTTGGAGAAACTGCACAAAACTCAGAATTTGAGTCTCACCATATAGGGAATAAATCCTCACATGACAATAGTCATAGCCAGCTGAAACAGAGAAAGCCTTTCAGATGGCGAGAACTGTGAGCTGCCGTAAGGTGGTCCAAACAAGGAAATTTTTTCAGACAGCAAAAGTTGTGAGTTGGCTTGACACAATTGTCTCCTGGTCGATTGACCCCAGATTGGGCTATCGTCCTCCAAACCCTAAGGAAATGCAAATACTTCGGCCAAAAGGGAGGGAGATCAGAACTTGAGAGGGCTCATGATTGGAGGAGCCAGTGGTCCGAGGAAATGGTGAGCACACAAGGGGACTTGTATTGGTAACAAACCTATTTCCAGGGGATGCTGGTGTGCAAAGATGAAATCTCTCCAGATCCCACTTCT